GCAAAACACTGCTTCCTTTAAATAGGGAAGTGTGTGTCTGTTTCTCTCTCTCTCTCTTTCACACACACACACACACACACACACACACGGATTCTCAAGCCAGTCTGTCTGTAGTTTTGTGAGCAGGTTAGTGTTTGTCTGATCCTTTATCTGTGTCTCACTGCAGTGACAGGCAGGTGAGTGTTTCATACATTTTGGACAGGTGTTATTAATGATTGTACATGGTATTTTTACGAGGACCAAATTTTGGAAAATGTCTTCATAAATATAGTGAAAACTGTACAAAATGCTTTTAAGGTCCTTTTAAGGTTAACTAGTCAAAATAGTTAATAAATAGGCCAATAAAAAGTTAAAATAAAATTAAAATAAAAGGAATATATAAATATAGCATTAATAAAATGAAATTTATAATGTAGAGAATTAATATACATAGCAAAATATAGAGCGAGACATAGAGGCATGTGTATATTAATATGTATATGTATGTGTGTCATAAAATATGACATTACTATAATATAATACAAAATCTAATAATCTAATTCATATTTTAAAAATAATGTGTGTGTGAGTGAGAGAGTGTGTGTGTGTGTGTGTGTGTGTGTGAGGCTCCGCCCCCTCTGCAGGAGTCTCGGCGCTGCTCTGCGTCGCGTCGCTTCAGTCTGATCAGATCAGAGTCACGCAGCGCTGCTGTCTGTGGGTTTCTCCGCGTCTGTTTTCTGTGAAAGAGCGGAATCACGCGTGTGTTCTGCGGGAATCTAGCGGCCGGATCGCGTGTGTTTCAGCGCAGGTAAGATCTGTTCTCTGGCGTGGATCGGATACATATTACATCAGACTGGAGCTTTGATCTGGATCCGCTTTCAGAACCAGATTCAAACACAGGCTGATTTCATATGGACCGGATCAGTCTGGTTTATGTCCGCATTGGTTCATTCATTCGTGTGAAGCTGGATGTTGACGCGACGCGACGCGACTCGCCCTGTCGCGCTGGTTTTATGATGGTCTGATGTTCCTGTCAGCGTTTCTGTAAATCTACTGTTTCCACATAAGGCACATTTCTATCGCTGATTATGACGTGCTAGTTTTTCTAAACAGGTGTGAAACTGGATTGTGCAATCTGATATTTACCATAATAGTTTCTGGCCCAAAATATTTGCTTGTGACTAAAATCAGTATAGATGACAATTAGATCTCCTTCAAACATTGAAATCGCTTTGTTGTCTTTTAGTTCATTTGTTTTCTCATTATACCACATTTTCACAAGTGTACAAACTAATAGTTTGGTGAAACTGTGGTAAATTCTGGAAAAGTTCTGTAAAATATGTGTCCCTGGAGCACAAAAGCAGTCTTAAGTCGCTGGGGTATATTTGTAGCAATAGCCAACAATACATTGTATGGGTCAAAATTATCCATTTTTCTTTTATGCCAAAAATCATTAGGATATTAAGTAAAGATCATGTTCCATGAAGATATTTTGTAAATGTCCTACCGTAAATATATCAAAACTTAATTTCTGATTAGTAATATGCATTGCTAAGAACTTCATTTGGACAACTTTAAATGGTTCACATGGTTTCTTTAAGGAAGTGAAATGTCTAATTGGTGGATTCATATGGAATTTGTGGAATGCATGTTGCATGTTGGTTTATTTCATATTTTGGCTGGTTTGATTGGCAGTAAGAGTGTATTTAAACACATTTGACCATGTTTAAGTCTGATTGCATGCAGTAAATGCATGCGTCTCATAGGTTGCAGGTAAAGATTTGGTGTTTGTGAGGGTTTAAAGCTCTCAGCAGAAGCACTGGAGGAGCGTCACCCTTCCCCCTGAGCAACATCTGAAGGCAAAAACATTCATTGTTCACAAGTGCTGAAGTGTTTTCAGCTGCTGCAGGAACAAAGAGCTTCTGCTTCTGTTGTGTCTTGGGTTTTGACTTGTCAAACTTGTTGCCAGCGAGTCTTAATGGCTGAGCAAACACAGAACGGCCGGCGACACTTCAACCTGCGGGCCATTATTTATCTGTCCTCACGTGCTCAGAAACATCATGAAGCTTCCTGAAGATTACAGTTTCCCTCATGAGGTTCCTATCAGGATATGCACGAAAGGAAGCCATAGAAGAACCATTTTGGTTCTCCAAAGAACCTTTTTGCATTTTGAAGAACCAATGTGCATTGGAAAAGTTTCACTCTTAAACATAACAGTTTTCATAGTGATGCCATAGGAGAACCATTTTGGTTCACCTTTCAGTGATCAGTTCTTAAAAGAACCATTTTTTCTTTGAAGAACATTTTTAAAATTCTATAGAATTTTTCCGCCCCACTTTAAATACCTTTTTGTGGAATGGAAAGGTTTTATGGGTGTCAAAGGTTCTTTATGGAACCATAGTTACCAATAAAGAGTGCATGTTAAAATAAACATAAACTAGTGTTCAATCCAAATGAAGGTCTGTGGATATGGTTTTTTGGTGAAATATGGAATATGCATGATATATTCACAATAATTTTCCAGCAAATATAAAATGAAGCACTGTTTTTTAAATGATTTTATATTATTTTAATTGGCTTTTTAGTTGGCCATGAAGTTTAAGAAGTCATTAGACTTCAGTATCCTTCATTTTTCATCATCAGAATTCAGAAAGAGCATTATTACAAAGTATGTTTGCGCATACAAGGAATTTGTTTTAGAGTCACAAGCTTCCAGTGCACAGAGACAACAGCACACAGATAATAAAAACTAAGATGAGAATAAAAATACACATGTGATCTTTCCCAAAGTAACAATTTTTTTAAAGTGTGAAGTTTTTTGTGCATTGGAAATTTTCATTGGATTTTAAAGTATTTGCTTTGCCATAAGATGGTGGTGATATATTGAATATGCATGATATATTCACAATGAATTTTCAGCAAATATAAAATGAAGCACCGTCTGAGATTGTTTTAATTTGGCCATATAGTTTACTTAGAGTTTAAGAAGTCATTAGACTCTTTAATTTTTCATTGTCTTTCCCAAAAGAATTGTTTTTCTTAGTGTGAACAACATTTCAATAATCTGTAGAGGTTTATGCACTCTTAAGAACCAAAGTGCATTGGAAAAGTTTCATGGGTGTTAAAGGTTCTTCATGCAAGCATCAAATGCCAATAAACTATCTTTGTTTTTAAGTGCAAAAAGGTTGATGGTTTACAGTCTTTAAATGCACGTCATCTTTGGCATGCTACTTTAACATCCATGAAACGTTTCCTATGCATTTAGGGTTTTTTGTAAAGCAAAAAGGTTCTTTGTGGAACCAAAATGGTTCTATGTTTTACAGTCTTTAAAACCCAAATCGTCTTCAACATGCCAGCAAACAGACTAAAACAGAGCCACTGATTCATCAGCCATCGATCGAGGGTCAGTAGATTGTTGACCTCGTCCATTTCCCAGGCCACCAAAATTAGAGGCTCTTCTGTTCTTTCCATGTCAGGCTTCAGAAAGCGTTCTCGTCGGGAGGAATGTGAGGAATGTGAAGAGGAGGCTCGCACCACCGTGAGTCTAGCGCATCTTCTCGCCCGCCAGACACCAGCGACGGTGCGAAATCTCACAGGTTTGTTTTCACTCTCTAGCGGGTGAAGACCTTTCAGATATCTGAGCCACAGAAAGAGTGGCTGTGCTGTCAGAAATGGAAAGAAAACCATCTTTATGGCCACATTCTCCATTTTTGCCAAAGTAAAATTAATCATTACCTGAGACCAGTGTTAGGCAATTACTAGTAATAATATGTGAGCACAAAACTAGTCATAAGGGTCCATTTTTAGAAATTGAGAGTTTTGAAACCTGGATAAATGAGCTTAACATTGATGTATGGTTTGTTAGGATAGGACAATATTTGAAAATCTGGAATCTGAGGGTGCAAAAAAATCTAAATATTGAGAAAATCATCTTTAAAGTTGTTCAAATGAAGTTCTTAGTATTGCATATTACTAATCAAAAATTAGGTTTTGATATATTTACGGTAGGAAATTTACTAAATATCTTCATGGAACATGATCTTTACTTAATATCCTAATGATTTTTGGCATAAAAGAAAAATTGATAATTTTGACCCATACAATGTATTGTTGGCTATTGCTACAAATATGACTGCTTTTGTGCTGCAGGCTCACATATTACTTTTTCACAATAACTAGTAGTGTAGCTAATTACTAATAAGAGTTCAGTAATAATATTAGAGTTACCATCAATAAAACAGCTCGTTACTTAGTTACTTTCAATGCCTCAACCTCTACTGATTTGAAATCCAATAATTCCTAGATTTATTTTCATAATTTCACATGAAGTCAGCAGAGCAGCAGGCAAGCTTGGAATATGGAAATCCTTACATTTAGCGGATGGAAATATTGCTGTTGCATTGATTTTGTGAGGAGAAAAGATGATCTGAATGCTGATGTGTGGCATTACTTTACTCTGGCGTTACACGGCTTGCCCACAAACATCCCTCTGATCCCGTTTTGTTTGTATAAAATCTTTTTAGAGAACTAAACCTTTTCTGACGAACTTACATGATTTCTTTTGATAAAATGCATCCTGGAATATAACCGTATATGGGTGACAGAGACATTAGAGCTACAATTAGCTTCAAGCTACACATGGTATTTAATGAGATTAATGCAACACTTGTATTTAAATGTTACTATTAATCACCACTGACTTCTGACTGCAATCCAGTGTGCATTTTGGTCAAATGATGAGGCGGAAATATATTGTTAATAACATTTTAGAAAACTTTTATGGCGAATATATGCAGTTACAACTTCTGTGGGGTGTGAAAGAAAAGTAATGTAACTAGTAGTGTATCAGCTGCTCAGGTTATTTGAAAAAGGTCATGTTTTTTCCTGTTTTAACCATCCGTGCCTTTAAATATAACAGCAACTGCTGCTGCGAATAGATTCCTGTATCAAACTGAGTCATTGTGCAACGACACATTTGCAAATGTGGTTTAGAAACTCTCAGACTCCAGCACCTGCTGATGCTCCTTTTTTTTAAAGAGCGTATTTCTTAATTAAGAGTCTAGAAATGAGTCACATGTGCGCAGGAAAGGTAATTAATGATCTGAAAGAGTTCCATCTGGTGCCGTCCTGTGAAAACCACTAAACAAATGTGTTACGGTCATTACATATTTGCATGATAATTTGCTGCATATTTTCAACTTTAAACAAGTTGCATGGACTATTTCTGGATCTTTCATCTTTTGGTTGATGTTTTTAAGGAATTGATTTGGAAAGATCCAGATTTGGTCCATGCAACTTGTTTAGAATAGTTGAAAATATGCAGCAAATTAAAATGCATGTATTTAATGACCATAACACATTTGTTTAGTGGTACAGTCCAAATGAAGGAATATAAATATGGCTATATTCACTATATATTTCTCATGATGCTAACCATATGCATTTTAAATTATTTAATTTGCTTTATTCGTCTTGCGATGTTTCAGCGTCTCTGATTTGAACCTCAGATTTGGAGTGTTTCGCATTAAGATCAGTTCATTTCTGTGAGTTCAAACGGCTTCTTGAAGGTGGTTCGTCCTCGTGTTTGAACAGGATGAGTTTGTTAATGTCCTGATTCCGGCTGCGGTTGGGTTTCATGAAGTGGGTGAGTAAGTCTGTCCAAAGGAAAGCTCTGTATGAAGGGAGGGACCAGGAACTGGAGGAGTGGATTTGCACCTTTTGTTTTTCACTAGTAAGCGTGAAGTACTTTCATCTGATTATGTAGGCCAAAGTCTCTTACACAAGGGCATTTCCCCGTCAGAAACACTTGAAATGTACAAAGGTTTATGCAAAGCTTTAAAGAGAAACTTTGAGTTTTACAGTTGGCAGCATGTTGATTTTTCTGGAGCCACTATGAAATCTTTTTTTTTTTTTTTCTTCCCCAAAATTCAGTGTTTTACATTTTCATTATTCTGGACTGTATAGTTTATCTATTAAAAATGTCTAATCAATTGATTTCATAAAACCATTTAATGATTATTTAAAATTTTGACAATGTTAGGGTGCTATGAAATACTTATTTTTTTTCTCATATTATGTTTTCATTTTTCTGGATTCTTTGGTTTATGACTGAATAAAAAATGATAATTAAAAACTGTGGTAATCAAGTTAATTCATATGACTATAACAGTATAATCAATCTTTGTAAATTTAATCATATAAAAAAATACACCAGTTATTTACAACAAAACATTGCAAAAAACTGTAATGTTTTAATTAAATAAAGGCTCTTGATTGGGTGATATTTCTTAAAATAATGTTTTAATTAATTAATAATATTTAGTAGGGTTGCAAAGAGGCGGAACATTTATGGAAACTTTCCGAAAGTTTCTGAAAATTCCCTAAGTTTTCCAAACGTTTCCAAAAAATCCGGATAAGTTTCCAAAAAAATCCTGGAATTTCCCCCAAAATCCTGGAAATTTTCCCAAAAATCCTGGAAATTTTCCCCCCAAAAAAATCCTGGAAAGTTTCCAAAATTTTCTGGAACTTTTCCGCCTTTTTGCAACCTTAATAATTAGTAATAGTAGTAGTTTGAGAAGTTAATTTCACTGCTAATATTTCTGTCAATATTTCTCCCAGTTAAACCAAACTTATATGTTGGTGTTTTGTTGTGAAGCCCTTTGAGTTTCTGTGTGTTTGATCACTGTTTTAATAGCCATTAACATATGACTAATTCTCCAAATGCATGTGGTTTTTCATATCAAATACATACACCAGCATAACTCAAAATCATCTAAAATGTATCTTGTGTTTTCTCAGGTTTACAGGCTGCTGGTCTCCTGTGCCACACACTATGTGACCAAACACCGTCGTCTGTTCTCAGCTTGTTCCGGCCGGCAGTAGAGTCGATCAGACGGGAGCTCGAGGTCTGCGTTAAAATGTCTGCGTGTGGAGAGTTTGCAGAGCACGTGTGGAAACCAGGCTCCTGTAAGAACTGCTTCCATCCGCGCAGCGCTCACGGACAGACCGGCACGGCGGGAGGCGCTTGTGTCCGAACGAGTCTGATCGGGGAAGACGAGGATGGGGTGACGTCTCCCTCTCCGTATATCAAACCCACCATCGCTGTCAGACCCACCATGATGAACATGGACGTCACAGTGGAGGTCAAGACGGCAATGAATACAGAACAGGTATCTGCAGGAATGCACTGAATTCATTGAGTGGATGAACTCTTAAAGGAATACCCAAACGTGAAAATCTGCTGAAAGTGTGCTCACCCTCAGGCCATCCAAGATTAGGATGAGTTTGTTTCTTCATCAGGTTTGTAGAAATGTAGCATTGCATCAGTGTCTCAGCAATGGATGCTCTGCAGTGAATGGGTGTCCAAACAGCTGATAAAAACATCAAACGTAATCCACAGCACTCCAGTCCATCAGTTAACATCTGGCGAAGACAAAAGCTGAAACAAATCCGTCAAGACGTTTTTAACTAAAATACGAGTCTATAATCCATAATAATGCTTCCTCCAGTGAAAAAGTGGTCTGGGCTGAATCAGGAGAGAAATCTGCACAGACCAAGCAGCGTTTAAACAGCTCTAAACACATATGTGGCTGGATTTTGATGTGAGAGACAACAGCAGATTGACAACAGACTTTTTCACTGGAGGTAGCGATATTATGGAACGTCTTTATGATTGATTTGTTTCTTTTGCCTTCTTCTCCAGATGTTAACTGATGGACTGGAGTGGTGTGGATTACTTTTGATGTTTTTATCAGCTGTTTGGACTCTCATTCTGACGGCACCCATTCACTGCAGAGCATCCATTGCTGAGACACTGATGCAATGCTACATTTCTCCAAATCTGATGAAGAAACAAACTCGTCAACTTCTTGGATGGCCTGAGGACATTTTCATTTTTGGCTAAACTATTCCTTTAAACTCTTATTATGGTGAAAGTCAGTGATATCTCAAAGGTGGGTGGGGTTTAGTCAACATTCTCCACTACATGGGTGTAGACTGGAATGTCTTTGTGAACGCAAGATAACAGACTGCCATTCAGCTGTATGCACCCTGTACAGGAAGGCAGTGATATGGACACATTCAGGCTTTTTAAACAAAGATAATTAGATCACCGCCAAGGGCATTGAATAATTTCTATGACAGACTACAAAGCAAACACACACGGACACAGTCACATAAAGTCGTCTGTGGAGTCAAATAAGATGATTGATTAGTTACTTATACCTGTGTGATTAATTGTCTATGCAATGCATTGATTGCATTGACATGCCTGTGAAATGTTGCCTGTTTATCCAGCGTGCTTGTTTGTGTACGCTTTGATGTTATTATCTCAATGTGGGTTTCTTACATTGGCAAGTTATTGAGTATGTTTTTATAATAAGCTTTTTATTGTAAACGCAATGATCCAGTGTTTGAATTCTTCTCAGACTTATGATTGCTTCTGTATCTTAGAACAACCAGAAGACCTCTGTAGGACTGAAGAAAGCTCTGGATTTGGCTCCTCTGTACATCGATAGCAATGGATGTAATAAATCTCTCAGAGAAACCATAATACAAAACGGCACCTCCGTAAAGAAGTTCTCCCCAAACGTTTGTTCTCCCACTGGATTATCCAAAGACTGCATGGTTATCAGCAATATATTTATGAGTCAAGAAGATGGCTGCGTTCAACACAGTCTGAAAGAGAATAGGAACAGTGACTCCTATAGACAGATGACCAAAGCGGTCAAGAGCACTTACGCCAATGGAGATCTATGTCTTCATAACGGGACTGGAAACAGTGATGGAGTTACAAGTCCTCTAAGGGCATCCGTAGAGGAAAGGCAAGCCAGAACCGCACCAGGGAATGTGGTCAACGGATCGTCCAATGAGACGCCAGGTACTTCACCGTCTCCGATGACTCCAGACTCCTTCCGCGAAAGCCTATCAGCCTCGTGCTCCAATCGGAGCAGCGTGGATTCGTTAGTGGGACTCCGGAGTCCTCAGAAGTCTCCAAGCGTTCCACCAAACGGGCTTGAGGAAAGTGAGCCGATCTATGCTGAGAGCACCAAGAGGAAAAGACGACTCGATGCTCAATGCGACGGGAAGGCTCCGCAATCCTCCGAGTCTGAAACCGAAGTCAACGTAAGCGACAATCAAAGAGCGACTATTACTGTCGTCGCCGCCCATACTGAGAAAAACAACCGGACGTTTTACCTGAGCAGCCCGGATTCGGCCGTAAGCACTCAATGGACCCACTTCAGCCCAACCGCGCCCAAAGACCCATCAAGCCCGGAGTTCACTTGGCCAAATGCTCCTGATGCCACTGAAACAACCCAACCCAAGCCTCGATCCAGTCCCCCAGTTCCTCCTAAGATCAGCACCCGTCCACCAAGACTTGGTACCTCCAGTCTCTCCTTACCGTTACCCGAGCTCAGCTTTCACGTGGTTCTTCCTCCAAATCAGATGACCTCGCAAGTGGACACCAATGCTCATGCCGTCCGAAACAAGTCTAACAGCGCCACGAGTCTGGAGGGATGTATTGACGAGGTAGAAGAGAAGGTTGAGTCCAAGAGATTGGGCTCTTGTGGTGGGCTAGGCGACTCCATCAATGCTCCTGCTGTTCTGTCCAGAGAATGGACGAGCGAGAGCAGTGCAGTGCCAGGCACCGCCAACAAAAGCACCAGTCAAATGCCGGCAGAGGATGGCAGAGCCAAAGAGAGCTTGCTCTTGAGCCCGTCTCCTCTCATCCACTCCAGTGTACCCAACACCAGCCGGGATCCCACGCCACCTCCGCCGCCTCCCAAAAAACACCACCGGTGAGAGCTGCATCCTTATTTTATGCTGTTTGCCAGGATATTAATCAGTTGATCATATCGATACTTATCCTTTGATGGAGCCAGATTAGTCTTAGTATTTATGGTGCCCTCACGTGCTTTGGTAAATATGAGTTTCCTAGCCATTTTTGGACATGGGTTAAGGTTAGGGCTTGAGAATTCGGACACGAATAGGCTCTCAAGTTGGATTTATGACTGGGAAACCTGGAGATACCCCAGACTAAACTTTAAACGTAATTGCAGGTTGAACATCTAGTTGGTTGTCAATGAATGGGACGCTACATTTTATTCAAAGTCTGTTGGATTTTGACTAAATATCTTCAATGCGTTTTGACTTTAATGCAGTTTCCCCAAGAAATTGGCAAGAATTAATCTGGTGTCCTCCATTATTTTTGTTGTTCCCAACGACAAAGCACTTGAATGCAGTTAACAAGTAAATAAGACTTCAGAAGTGGGAATTTCCAATAGCGCATGAAGGCAGCGTAAATGCAAAGACCCAGTTATGTTGTTTTTTTCTGGTTTGCCTGACCAGGTCATTTCAATGAATTTAAAAGCTCTTGGTATTGCTAGTTAGTCATCTGGTATAGAAAAACACTCTCAAGTCGTATTTATGACTGGGAAACTTACTGACTGGGAAAAACCACAGTTTTTGAGTTGGGAGGATGAAACTTTAAACTACGAAATGCTTTCTCTTGCATTACAGTCATTTATTTGTGTATATAAATAACCATTTGATGCATGTTGTGTGTATTTTACACCGCATTTATTTGACTGAAACTTCAGAATCGCTGGCTGACAATCTAGTTGGTTGTAAATTAATGGGACGCTGCATCTGTTGGATTTTGACTAAATATCTTCAATGCATTTTGGCTTTAATAAGGTTTTCCCAAGAAACAGGCTAGAATAAACCTGATGTACTCCATTATTCCTGTTTTTTCTAACAACAAAGCACTTGAATGTGATAAACAAGTAACTACGACTTCAGAAGTGGGAATTTGGAAATTTCCAATAGCACATGAATGCACTAAATTACAGAGAACCCTTTATGTATGTTGTCTGGTGTTCCTGACCAGGTTTCAATGAATTTAAAAACTCTTAGTATTGCTAATCAGTGCATTACTGGTCATGAGTTCTATTGTTAGTTTGTCACCGGTCAGTCTGATCTCTGGTTTCATATTGAGATGGATTCATTGTGAGATATTCAGTTTCTTTGGTTTTGTTTTCTTGTATTGCTTCGTTATCGACCCTCTTAAGGTGATGTGATTTATTGAGCTCAGTGGTTTAATGAGATGAAGTGTTCATTTTGGTGTATTTGTTTCACTCTCGTTCTCTCTGAATGAAGTTGATTGTCGTTTGTGTCTGGACTCATGACTTTTAGGCCGGTCTCTCTGTTGTTTGTTTGCAGTTTTATCAGTCCTTCATTCAGCCATTATGGAGACTATATCAAGCGCAGATATGTTCACGCCGTTCTGAATGTGACGCCTGTTCATCAGCGCCATTCGATTCATTTATTCTGCTGTAACCACGTTTAACATGTGAGTGTTAATGTAAAGTAATGACGTGAAATAAAACGTCGTCATGTTTTAAAGAAGTGTGGCTTGATTATATGGTGAAATAGCGGATGATGGGCACAGAACGGTAACAAAACTCTGATTTACAGTCACACACAGGTGTAGTAGTGTGCAAACTCTATAACATGGGGATGTTTTAGATAGCTGTAAAAGGATTCACATGTTTGTTTTTTGAAAATATCGTTTTTTTATGTAATATTATATTGTAAGTCTAACAAATAATTGACCTCAAAAAGGGAATTCATAGCAATAACTGCTTAATTTTTTGCATATTAGCTATATTATATTATATTATAAAGAATTGAACTGTTCTGCATGAGATTTTTTAAAGTGATTTTTTAATAGAATTTCTTGGTAAGTAGCACAACACTGTAAAAAATGTTTTCTCAGGTAACCTAAAATGTGCATCATTTAGTTACATCAAGGGTCAAATCAAATATAAATAACACATTAAAGTCCAATAGAGAAAAGTTTTGCTCAGTAAGAAAAAAAAGAAATTAAAGGGAACATTGGTCATAACCCAATATTTTTCAATTAAAACCATATTGTATCTGATCAGCAACTTCTCATGAATGAGTGAATGTGAAAAAAAATTAAAGTTTTGCATGTTATTATTGCATGTACCCCTTTTTATTAATTAAAAAAAATTAAATTCTTTGAAACTTCACACATGAACCACACCAAAAAAAAAAAAAAAAATTTAACATGTATGTAATTTGTAAGAACATATAATCATATAATTTCCCGTATTAACCCCATTGGAATTAATATAATTTATAACTTTATAACTTATAACTTATAACTAAATTTATAACTCATTATCAATCAAAAAGTGTACAAGTTTATGAAACCTACATATATATTTCTAACAGAACAACATACATATAACTCTGAAAAGTTTTCAAACAAAATAAATGCATTTTACTTGCATAAACATTAATTTTCAGATGAAAAAGTGGAAAAAGTGCGAGATGTGGAGAATAGGAGAAATATATTTTACAATATTTTTTGGCACTAATATAACTTCATAGAAAATTTTACGAAAAGTATTTTTGGCACTAATGGTGTTCCATACTAGGGCTGGGCAAAAATTTTTTTTATTGTTAACCGCTTCATCTTTATAGAAGCGTATGCTGGATCAGCTCTCTGCCCTTCAGAGCTGTTTCTGTTTTATTTGTTCTCATGTTTGACCGACTCACAGGAACATTTCAGGCCCAGAGTCACGTCGCCAAAGTAAAGCGCGTTGAGATCGTCTGCGCTTCCCATCTGTTGCTGAGCTCCGGATGAGGAGCTGGAGACGCGAGTCAACAAACACTGAGCATATCTGAGCATCGATCTGCTGTTTATACCTTCATCAGGCGCTGTGTCTCCAAACAAGAGCTTTTTTTTAGCAGACCGCAGCGTTTTGTGGTTATTGAGATATGCCCTACATATATATTTCTAACAGAACAACATACATATAACTCTGAAAAGTTTTCAAACAAAATAAATGCATTTTACTTGCATAAACATTCATTTTCAGATGAAAAAGTGGTCCATTTTTTATGCTGCAATGGTTCGTCAACAGACTTCAGTCCAAAAGTGTGCGAGATGTGGAGAATAGGAGAAATATATTTTACAATATTTTTTGGCACTAATATAACTTCATAGAAAATTTTACGAAAAGTATTTTTGGCACTAATGGTGTTCCATACTAGGGCTGGGCAAAAATTTTTTTTATTGTTAACCGCTTCATCTTTATAGAAGCGTATGCTGGATCAGCTCTCTGCCCTTCAGAGCTGTTTCTGTTTTATTTGTTCTCATGTTTGACCGACTCACAGGAACATTTCAGGCCCAGAGTCACGTCACCAAAGTAAAGCGCGCTGAGATCGTCTGCGCTTCCCGTCTGTTGCTGAGCTCCGGATGAGGAGCTGGAGACGCGAGTCAACAAACACTGAGCATATCTGAGCATCGATCTGCTGTTTATACCTTCATCAGGCGCTGTGTCTCCAAACAAGAGCTTTTTTTTAGCAGACCGCAGCGTTTTGTGGTTATTGAGATATGCTGCTCCTATCAGAACCAAACCAAGAACCATCATCAGATACAGGAGACTGCACTGAAAAAAACTAAAACTAGTAGAAAATATTTGTACTCAGAAATAGATAGTACATTTCACAACTGCTTAGAAAGAAACATAAAGAGCACATTGAATTATAATAGTATTTTCTAAAATAGTATTTTCTTGTTCCAGTTTTTTTTAGATGACATATTTTCAAAATCCAGTCAATGGGTTAAAATGTATTAATGCAGGGTTTCCAAACTGTTTTTTAGGAGTTGATGAAATCATGAAAATGTCCATTTAAATTGAATAAATAAAACAATAATACTGGAAAATATTTAAATAATGTATTTGTTTTAATACATAAAAATGTATTTAATATATTTTAATATTATATAGAGCGAGAGAGACAGGGTCACATCGCAGTGGAGTCAGCTGTCTTAACCGTGGCTTGTGTACTGCAAACACATATTCATCACTGTGTCTGTCACGAGACTCTGTTCCCCTTTCGGGCTCTGTCTTTACATTTATTTTGAAAGATGAAGCTCGTGATTATGGTAAGGGGCGTTACATTTCCGACGAGTGCTTGCGGTGTTCGGCCAATCACAATGCACTGGGTCAGCTGGCCAATCAGAGCAGACTGCGCTTGTCGGAAGGAGGGACTTTGTAGAAAACGAAGCGTTTGAGAGAGGCGGGGCATAGAGGACCTACAATAATGTACAGTATTTGAAAAATAATGTGTTTTTTGAACATTAAAGCACGTCAACATATTCTGTTACACCAAATACACAAAATAATGATCGTTAAAAAAGCATCATATGACCCCTTTAATAGAATTGAATTAAATTCCTTTTAATTTATAACTCATTATCAATCAAAAAGTGTACAAGTTTATGAAACCTACATATATATTTCTAACAGAACAACATACATATAACTCTGAAAAGTTTTCAAACAAAATAAATGCATTTTACTTGCATAAACATTCATTTTCAGATGAAAAAGTGGTCCATTTTTTATGCTGCAATGGTTCGTCAACAGACTTCAGTCCAAAAGTGTGCGAGATGTGGAGAATAGGAGAAATATATTTTACAATATTTTTTGGCACTAATATAACTTCATAGAAAATTTTACGAAAAGTATTTTTGGCACTAATGGTGTTCCATACTAGGGCTGGGCAAAAATTTTTTTTATTGTTAACCGCTTCATCTTTATAGAAGCGTATGCTGGATCAGCTCTCTGCCCTTCAGAGCTGTTTCTGTTTTATTTGTTCTCATGTTTGACCGACTCACAGGAACATTTCAGGCCCAGAGTCACGTCACCAAAGTAAAGCGCGCTGAGATCGTCTGCGCTTCCCGTCTGTTGCTGAGCTCCGGATGAGGAGCTGGAGACGCGAGTCAACAAACACTGAGCATATCTGAGCATCGATCTGCTGTTTATACCTTCATCAGGCGCTGTGTCTCCAAACAAGAGCTTTTTTTTAGCAGACCGCAGCGTTTTGTGGTTATTGAGATATGCTGCTCCTATCAGAACCAAACCAAGAACCATCATCAGATACAGGAGACTGCACTGAAAAAAACTAAAACTAGTAGAAAATATTTGTACTCAGAAATAGATAGTACATTTCACAACTGCTTAGAAAGAAACATAAAGAGCACATTGAATTATAATAGTATTTTCTAAAATAGTATTTTCTTGTTCCAGTTTTTTTTAGATGACATATTTTCAAAATCCAGTCAATGGGTTAAAATGTATTAATGCAGGGTTTCCAAACTGTTTTTTAGGAGTTGATGAAATCATGAAAATGTCCATTTAAATTGAATAAATAAAACAATAATACTGGAAAATATTTAAATAATGTATTTGTTTTAATACATAAAAATGTATTTAATATATTTTAATATTATATTAAACATTATAAAGATTTTTGTAGTATTTAATATAATATTAAAATTTATTCAATATTTTTTATAAATGTAAATCTATTTATAGTATTTGAACGTAGTATTAAAATATAATAAATATTTTAGTGTATTTAATAAATGTTGGTATTGTATTATAATATTTAATGTAATATTAAATATTTATGTGTTTAACAATATTTAATGTTGTACTAAAATATATCAAATATTTTATATTAAATAATTTTAATATATTAAATAAAATATAATAAATAGTTTAGTGTATTTAATATATGTTGGTATTGTATTATAATATTTAATATAATATTACATATTCATGTGTTTAATAATATTTAATGTTGTACTAAAATATAAAATATTTTATATTAAATAATTTTAATATATTAAATAAAATATAATATTTTAGTGTATTTAATATGTTGGTATTGTATTATAATATTTAATATAATATTAAATATTTATGTGTTTAATAATATTTAATGTTGTACTAAAATATAAAATATTTTATATTAAATAATTTTAATATATTAAATAAAATATAATAAATA